TATATATATATATGCAATTTCAGTACTGATTATCTTAAATTTTCGAAAAACAAAACTAGCCACGTTGACATTGAGTAAACTGAATATTTTTAGTTTTCATTTCAATGTTAATTTGAGTAGGCGAATAATCCTATTTATCAAGAGTGCTATTTGTGTAACTAATGATATTGTCTTTTTTTTTTTTTTTAAAGAAACAAAAAATAGTCAATGTTTAGTTTCAATTAAGGAAAGATGCTATATCACATATTTTGAGAAAACATATTTGGGGATCAATTAATAGTTTACTACACTTTAACTAGTTTAATATAAAATGTTAATTTGATAGAAAATCGCTTCATTGATTTTTTTTTTAAAATTGTTTATTCTTCTTCTTATTATTATTATTAAGGCGGTTTTTAATAGCGCAGTACCCAGCCTAGGTCTAGGCTCACATAGTACCCCAGCCTAGGGCTAGGCTCATTGCAGTACACTCGTCTAGGGCTAGGCTTACTGCAGTACACCCGCCTAGGGCTAGGCTTACTGCAGTAAACCCGCTTAGGGCTAGGCTTACTGCAGTACGCCCGCCTAGGGCTAGGCTTACTGCAGTACGCCCGCCTAGGGCTAGGCTTACTGCAGTACGCCCGCCTAGGGCTAGGCTTACTGCAGTACGCCCGCCTAGGGCTAGGCTTACTGCAGTACGCCCGCCTAGGGCTAGGCTTACTGCAGTACACCCGTCTAGGGCTAGGCTTACTGCAGTAAACCCGCTTAGGGCTAGGCTTACTGCAGTACGCCCGCCTAGGGCTAGGCTTACTGCAGTACACCCGTCTAGGGCTAGGCTTACTGCAGTACACCCGCTTAGGGCTAGGCTTACTGCAGTACGCCCGCCTAGGGCTAGGCTTACTGCAGTACACCCGCCTGGGCTAGGATTACTGCAGTACACCCGCCTGGGGCTAGGCTTACTGCAGTACACCCGCCTAGGGCTAGGCTTACTGCAATACACCCGCCTAGGGCTAGGCTCACTGTGCTTTACATAAGAATTAGCAATTAGAGAAAATTATTCATTTAAAAACAACAATTGGAAAAAGCTTGACCTGACCCACCCATATACTATCTACCCCTGTCTAGCCATGGACTGCACCATACGCATTGTTAATCAGTCAGAGAACTAAAGAAAGAGTCGGAAAAGTATATTTAGAAGAGATGTGTCTTAAAGGCAATTTTTAAGGCTGGGATGTTTAATTAGTCATTGGCAGTTGGATGCTCAAAGATGGAGACACAGAAAAAGCATTATTTGTATAAGAGGTCACGTAACTTCCGTGCCCTTGTTACGTCAAAAAAATAACTCGTGAAAGGAACCCTGTGATTTCAGAATCCCAATAACCAAACACGCTCAAATATATAAGTACGTCGTC